GCACATTGGGGAGATCGGGGGAAAGTCTTACATTTATGTGCTGCTCTCACATTCACACTGCTGCAGCGCTCTTGGCAATTCTGCAGATTAAACGATTAAAGCTCAGAGAAGTTGGCATCAGTCAGTAAATGGCAGTCAGTGTTTAAAACAATGAATTCTGGTGTTAAGTCCAGTGTTCTTTAATCTGTGTGATGCTGCTTTACCTCAACTAACTGACAGAACCTAAGTATTTGGGACAGGAAATAGAGACATAACAATAAACTGTAAGGACATCACAGGCCAGTGGGTGGGGGAAAGATTGGGAATACTGGAAAAGTAGGCTGAGCCATCAGATAAGGAATCGTTTGGCTCAGAACATGGTAAGTTTGAAGGCCCTGTGAGATATCCAGGGCAGGATATCTATCTATAGGCAGCTGAAAATGGGGGTCTAGGATTCCATGATCAGTGTGGGCCTAAAGATTTGTGAAGTAAGAGTATAGGTGGGAGGACGCATCTTTGGGGAATGGCTGAGAGGGTGTAGCGCTGCAGTATTGAGTGGAGCCCTGCAACATCCAAGGATAGTCTCCAACCATGTGTGGCTATTGAAATTTTAATTATAATTAAATCAAGTTTAAAATTCAGGTTTTCATTTGCCACCTTTCAGGTGTGTTCAGTAGCCACATGTGTCTAGTGGTGACCATATTGACAGCCAAATATAGAACATTCCCGTCATTGCAGATGGTTCTGTTGGACAGCGCTGCTATAGACTTTAAGAGAATCATTTTAAGATTACAGCAGTGGGGAAAGCCAAAAAATAGTCTAGGGTGAGGATTACATCAAGCTGAGGAGGCACTGAAGATGTCATGCATAAGTTAATCTAAGTCTTGGCAGACAAGGAAGAAGGAGATGAGGCGACAATTGAACGGGGAGGCAGGGCATGCAGAAGCCCTAAGCACTGCCCACAGTGGAAAGAGCAGGCTAAATAAAAGGCCCAGTTAATGACAGCACAGAATGGTCAAGTTCATGCACACTGAGAGTATCCATCTGGCACCTCCAGTAATTTTTTTCAAAGACAAGCATTTCCAGCAGCCTTTCCTACTTTATGTCTGATTTGCCTATCAAAGGTTAAGTGTGAGGAAGCTGAGTAATAGTTCTAGTATATTTCTCCTGTTTAAAACCCTAAACTTTATCATAACACTTTTCAGGCCCAACTTCGACACTGTATGTCTAAGCAAGCAGAAGTATTAAGTAAAGGAAAGCGGCAGACAGAGGGCACATTACACAGTTTGAGGAGACAAGTGGATGCTTTAGGGGAATTGGTTACCAGCACCTCTGTGGATTCATCAGTGTCACCCAGTGTGGAGTCTTCCCTTGTGGAGGACTCTCAACTTGGACAAAATCAGGTAAGGGGAAGCTCTTAACAAAGGGTTTACTATATTACATGGAAAGTACTGAAAGCTTTAGGGTGCGTAATCTAGAGGATATTCAGGACATAAATATGCCACCTTCAACTCTCTGGAAAACTTATCTCAGCAAAGACTTTTTTGTGCTCCCTGGGAAAACTGGAATGAACTGGTTTGTAGATGGAGAAAGAGGATAAGTTGATGGCTTAGGAAATAGACTAGAACTGGAGATCGGATGACCTGGCAGGAGTGTAGTTAATTCTGCTATGAACGTCCTCCACTTCTGGATTTCCTTATTTTCTACTCAGTCAATATAGAGAGTTTAGACCTGTGAGGTCAATTTGAGTCCACTTTGTCTCCCTGTATCTTGTAACTTGCAGACTTCTTATCGTAGGGCCTATAAAATATTTGAATTTCACAAAGCTTTTCTGTGTGAAACTTAGATAAGGTTAATAATCATTTAGGAGGAACATGAAATATACTCATGGAACTGGCAAACAGTAACAGTATACGGCTGTCAGAGACATATAATAGCTTCCATTTTTGAGTGCTATGTACACATACTAAACTTGATATATATCTCATTTAATCTTTGCATTCTGGGAGGTAGGAATTATCCCTTAACATAGATAAGGAAATTGTATAAAATGATAAATGACTTGGTCAAGGATGTATCAAAAGACAAAAGCAGGATTTAGGGACTAATCTGCCTATACTGCAGAGCAGTATAATGATTGAAGCTCAAGGAACCTTCAAGGACAGTTGCTTCTTCAATATGCTCAAAGTGGGCAAGTGACTTGCCTAGATCACACAGCACATCAGCAGCAGAGCCAAGATTTGAATATGATTACCCTAACACCCAAATCAGGTTAAGGCCAAAATCATCATGGGCCTCAAGTCAGGGTTAAAGAAGAGATAGGCACTGGACATTGAGTAATAGGCAGGCTTTGGAAGTAAGATAGCTCAGAGCAGGAGTCCTCAGACTTTTTAAACAGGGGGCCATTTCACTGTCCCTCAGACCGTTGGAGGGCCAGACTATAGTTTAAAAAAAACTATGAACAAATTCCTATGCACACTGCACGTATCTTATTTTGAAGTAAAAAAACAAACGGGCAAAAACACCCACATGTGGCCCCCAGGCTGTAGTTTGAGGACGCCTGGCCCAGAGTACTGAGAAAAGAGTGCCTAGGGGTTGAGGAGTTAGTTCAGTTTCAATTATCAACTCTAAGATGGCAGCCAGAATTCAGGTGCTTTAAAGGCAAGGCACAATGGGTAGGAGTGAGATTGTTAGAAGTACTTAGAAGTCTGGGGTTGTAATCCAGACCTATGTAGGATAAAAGCCTGAACTAAATTGTATTTAGGGGGCTGGATGCTGAGCCTAACATTTTATCTCCCTTCTATTCAGAGCTCCTTCCTACGGGTTTTACAAAGTCCACCAGATGGTTACCGACACTGATGCCACTTCCCAGATTCCTGCTCACAGGGTATGTGTTACAAAGAGATCTTTTAACTAGCATTTGCAATTGGAAGATATTGAATTTTAGCAGTCTTAAGAAAAACAAACTTTTTAACTTGTCATAATTTTGTACAGTGGTTCACCATAAAACATTTTTCCAAAGAGATATTTAAATTACCCGATAGCCTCAAGCCATCACTTAATTCTGTTAAGACTATTTCTACTGCTACAAGAATTTAATCCACCCTTTCTACTTTTGTCTTACTGTAGGAACATGGCTCAGCCAGATGAGGAATACTGCATTGTGTAAATATATGAGGGAATACCTTCTCCACTACCTCACTACTTCACAATTGGAAGGCCGCTTGGTTTTTTGCTGAAACTCCACTGTAGTTTTTGTTTGTAACATTAATGCTAAGGTTTTGTAAATCACTTGTACATGTGGGAATAGTTGAACATAATTTAAACCAGAGTCCTAGGTGGCCAAGATATTTTTTTTTAATCTTTGGACTGTGTTTTTATAAAATCAATGCTGATTTTAACTGCATATTTGTATCTGTAAACTGGCAAATCTCATGACAAAAAAATGTACTTAAGCCCTTCTTCATTTATATAGTGTCAAGAGTTATTTTAAATTCTACTTAAAATCTATTTTTCATATGAAAATAAAAGATATAATCAACTTGGGTCTGTCATCTGACTTTAGAATTCACAAATCAATCTACAGCAAAACCAGGCCAGGCATGGTGGCTCACACCTGTAATCCTAGCACTCTGGGAGGCCAGCATGGATGGATAGCTCAAAGTTAGGAGTTCAAGACCAGACTGAGCAAGAGCGAGACCCCATCTCTACTAAAAATAGAAAGAAATTAATTGGCCAACTAAAAATATATAGAAAAAAATTAGCTGGGCATGGTGGCATATGCCTGTAGTCCCAGCTACTTGGGAGGCTGAGGCAGGAGGATCGCGTGAGCCCAGCAATTGGAGGTTGCTGTGAGCTGGGCTGACGCCATGGCACTCTAGCCCAGGCAATAGAATGAGACTCTGTCTCAAAAAAAAAAAAAATTCTACAGCAAAACCACCAAGCCATCAAATTTTTACCTTATTCAAAAAAAATCTTTCAGGTGGTTTTTCCATCTTTTACTTGGAGGTTGAAATATGTTATCAATGAATATATATTACATAATTTGTAAGTATCTACTATAAAACTATTACACTTCAGATGCTTTTCCCCAGCCAAAGGTATTGATTCTTTGGTGGAAAATTAGGAAACTTTGTACTTTGAAGAATTTGACCCAGTGATAAATTCAAATTGTGTTCAGACTTTTAAATTTTTGAACTACTATAATTAACTGCTCAACTCCATGATATATAGTTTTTAAAAATCAAGAATAGCAACTGCTGTCAGTTTTGTGGCAACAGAATTACTCCCAGGAGCAAATATGTAATATATTAGGTTTTAAAATATTCCTAAAAACTCTTTTCTAGGCCACTAGACAGCCTTTGAGCCACAACAGGCATTATACCATGGTACTACAGTGCAGAGTAGCACAGTGAGTGCAGAATCCCTCACCAGTGAGGTTTATATTCCTGAAGAGCTATTTGGCTACAACTGGACCATTATGGCATAAATATAATTACAATAAAGACAATGAAAATGAAGTACAATTTATTAACACAATAAGTGCCAGAAGTCATCTACTTCCAAAACAAAACTTGTCTTTTATATTTACAATCTCTTTTGTTTTACTCTCTCAAGTGTTACCAAAATGCTTTTCAAAGGCCTGGCCTATTCACAATTATTGAAATCCATCAGGGACACAATTTTCTGGGCCTCTGATGAACGAGGGTAAAATATCTTCTTTATAGACTGACTCATGAACGCTCTCTATGCTCCCACATGAACAGGAATGGAAGGTAATTATTTGGTCTTTTCTTCTCGTTGAAGGAAATGCAACTATTTGTCTACAGAAAAAAGATCACACTTAAAATAGTGGACATATGGGCAAAAAAGTTCTCAAAAATTATGGGTCTCACGGAATTAGAGAAAGGAGATGATGTATGAAGCCAAACACCTGGTTTCAAAAGACATCTTTCCAAGGAAATTTTACTACCTCTAGTATTATGTGTATAACACCAAAAAAAAAAAAAAAAAAACCAAGGTTACTGCATCAAACACTTTATTATCCATGAAAAAGATTTGAACATTGTACTGGAATGTCTAACGCATAAATAGTACCAAGCACCAATTACTAATCAGAGGGCCTCATAGGTGTGAGGATGAGTAACCCAGAGAAGTAGGTGACCCGTACAAGCAGTAAGTGCTTATGGATTAAAAATTAAAAGAATTCCACATTTCTCTCCAAAATATACTGCCCAGTGTCTGGCACACAGATGTTATAACAATTTGCTCCTCTATTTTTGAGCACCCAAGTTTACTATGGGGGATTACACATGCAAATAATAGAATTTGGCCCCAAGTACAGTCAAAAGAGAACACTATCAGCCACCAAAATGTGCTGATCTTACACTGAAAAAGGCTGACTGAAATACTGCCAGGGTGATGCAAACACAAGGATAAAACTGTAGCACAATTACTTAGTGCTGTGGTTTTAAATGCTACAGATATAGACCTCTCTTTATACAATAAATAAGGACAGTTCTGCAATAAAAACTGACATGCTAAATAATTGCTCACCTGAAGAAAATAAACCCTATTATAGTTCAGAAAATAATGCAACCAATTTTAATTTAATCTAGATACAGGTACTTTATTTACAAATATTTAGATTAATAGCATTTTGTTACATCAAATGAGTACAGCAGTCTGAATAAATCCTTCTGTCACAAAAACAGTAAGACCCACTGTAGCTAACTTTGGGAATCAGGGTATTGCACCTAAACAAGCCGCAGTCTTTAGTTTGTGATTGCTACCTTATATCCCAATGAGTGTTTTGTTTTGTTTTTGTAAATATACACACACACACCAGCAGGTCATGGTCCCTGGGTGAATCCCTTGTGATGCAACAGTGTAAGCAAAATGGATCACTTTAACAGAATATACCAATCTACTCCAGGAATCTTATTTCTTAAAAAGTTAAACAAAGGCAAAAATAAAAATGAGTCCACAAATTAACCAAGTCCTATTTTCTGCACATTCCAGTTTTGGCTTTTATTTAACATTGACTATACAATACTCTGGTACTACCATATGTTTAGAACCCAGAAAGATGTACTTTTACGTGTCTGTAAAGAGGGATTTAAAATGTGTATTTTAAACACAGCAGTTGAGCTGAATGCATTTCATAGAATATGCTGAGGTTTACCCTATCCTACTTCAAATAACTTCTCAATTCCCAGCCACCGAACCATAAAACTCAATTAGAAATCAGTCAACAGAAGTGAAGGACTTAGTAAAACTTAAGTTTGTTGTCTAAATAAATAAGATTGTTTCTCCTGCAATACAGTATTCTTTCAGTGGCCAAACCACCTAGTGCAAAGTAATAACTTACTTTGTATCAGCACAAGCACTGAAACACCATTAGAAACATTTCCCTTTTACAAAATAATTTATGCCAACATGACATAAAATAGCCCCTCATACTATGAACACAAGGGATATCTTAAATTATTTCACTGTAGTGTTAAAAATGCACAATTTAAAATCCCTTAACAGCAGACCTGTGGTTCTGGCTGTTTGGTTCAGAATCTAACCATTCCAAGAAGATAAAGGTATAAAAGCTTAAAATGTGCAATAATAAACCCAGCCTTTTTTCTTTTTCTATACAGTAAGGCAAGAATGCAGCCTGTAATGCAAAACGTTTACAAAAAGAGAAAAGCAGGTTAGCACATTGTCGATTGCACAAGAACAGTTAAGAAAATCAGCAGGTAAGCAACAGTGTAAAGATGGAACAGAATCTGCTAGTGTTAATCCTCTGATGCTAGGAGCTCTTTCCAGCATAATGTCCCCACACACTGCCAGCACCAAGGGGTGGAGCCAGTACCACTTGTGAACTGCAGTTGTGTCTATTTCCTTGTGTGAAATGGCAGGGAATAACATGGTCACATATAGGTCATACTGTACAAACTGGTATTTTATACTGTTCCAATGCCAGTAATCAATTTATTTTCTTCATTAAAATAATATACACAGAATGTATCGTTAGTTCGGTTCCTTCAAATTTTATACATATTTACTTTCTGTTAAAGAGAAAAGGATAAAATGGTGTAAAAAAAAGATAAAGCTATTAATTAAGCACAAAAGAGAAGATAAATAGGTATTTTCCTGTGCAAGGCTAAGACAGAAGCTAACCTTGTCAAGAAAAATGCCACCCACACAACAGGGAATTTACCCAACAAAAAAAAGCAGTTATAGGACCCCTTCTCTACCATCAGAAGTCATTTCACAGCAATGAACATATTGGTTACAACAGACATACTTGAACAGTTAAAGATGGGGAGAAAAGCTTAAGATACCATCAAATTAAACCATACAATGAGACAAAGCCTTGCCAAAGAGGGAGGGTAAAAATCATGAAGTCCAGCATCAGTGCTCAGTTTAAATCATATATTGGTGACATACCTATCACAAGGACAAGGGGGGGAAAAAAAAGTCTAGATTTACCATGCAGGAGAGATTACTCTACTTGCCTTTGATAACCTGATTACATCTAGTTGTTTAGCAGTTTAGTATTGTGTTAAACTGTTTTTACAACAGAGTTTTTTTCTTTTTTTTTTTTTAATTAAACCCAGTAAGATGTACAGAAGACAATGAGGCAGTAAAAAGTACTGCTTCCAACAGACAGAGGTGAAAGGTCAAATGAGGGGCCACGGCAAAGAGGTCACTAGCAGCCACAGCCTTCTCTCTGGGGTTGGGGTTCACTGGTTAGCCGGCCTCCCTGTGGGGCTGAGGGTTTGTGTTGTACACCAGACTCAGCAGCATTCAGATCCAAGCTTCCATCCTGAATGTTCTGATAGATTTTCTTGGCAGCCTCAAGGAAGGCATCTTCTACGTTCTCTCCCCTAAGAGGCAATTGACAATGTTATTCAAGAACCACAGCTTTCTACAAAAGAGAAGACATTATACACTGACCTTTTGCTAACCTTTAGTCAACTGCCATGATGTCTTCAACTTAGCCACTGTCATCTAATAAGAGATTACCAGAAGACTGAGCTAAGTGAACAACATGGGAAAATATTTTCTATGGAAAGCACATAAACATGGTACTAAGAGCCCTTTCTATAAAACCCATTTGGGTAATTATGTGTTCTAATCATTAAGATGCTTCATTTCTGTGATAACAGAGAGGGTACTCCAAACAGAAATGAAATTTCTCCAAACATGCTGAACAAGATTCCAGAATTTGTATGGTCTGTTCAGCCAAGCATGAACTGTGCTGTTTTATCATGTGATAGCAACATATTTACACTTAGCCATGTTCATATTTCCATTCTCTTGGGACTAACAGCACAGCCAAGGCTAAACAAAAACGAGTTAGGCTCTCACCATTGCAAGGAATTTTTTGGCCTAATAAATGAAAAACGATGATGAGAGAGTGCTATGGTTCAATAATGGACATGCAAGAACAATTAGGAAATGTTCATTATGCTTCTGAGTAGACACTTAAGCCATGAGCTTTTTTTTTTTTGAGACATAGTCTGGCTCTGCTGCTGGGGCTACAGTGCCATAGCGTCAGCCTAGCTCACAGCAACCTCAAACTCCTGGGCTCAAGCAATCCTCCTGCCTCAGCCTCCCAAGTAGCTGGGACTACAGGCATGTGCCACTATGCCTGGCTAATTTTTTCTATATATTCTTAGTTGTCCAGCTAATTTCTATTTTTTAGTAGAGACAGAGTCTCGCTCTTAATCAGGCTGGTCTCGAACTCCTGACCACGAACAATCCTCCTGCCTCAGCCTCCCACAGTGCTAGGATTACAGGCGAGAGCTGCTGCACCTGGCTAAGCCACGCTTTTTAATGTGATCAGAAGTATTAACGAAGAACAGATTGACCAAGCTTGGGTCTGGAATGCCAAACTCAACCTCAGTTGTGAAAGTCAAACACTTTCGAAATGTAAACAGTTTCATTTATTAACCTAGGTTATCAATGGGTATACTCAAGGTACAAATCTTTAAAAATTCATATTATTTTAAAATGTGAAAATGGAAAAGGATGTTTGCCCATTGTTCTTCCTGCCATATGCATTACATATTTATATGTATGTATATATACATTATACACTTTTCATATATATGGTTCTACTTTGAGAAACCTTTCATGATCTTTTAGCCATACTTACGTTTTTGCACTTGCTTCAAGGAACAATAAGCCTAAAAATAAAATTTGGACTATAATTAGGACATTTCAGATGAAACAAGGGTATTTCTTCAGTAACGTGAATAAGTTTCCCATCAGATCTCAGTCCTCCTACCACAGCATTTTATGAAAGGGTGAGTTTCAGATGAAGAACATCTTTATATTTGTCATTAAATAATTGTACTACTTTCAAGATAAATCTCATAAAACACATTTTGTTTTTCCTCATTCTTGAGATTTTTGAACAGTCTGCATTTTTTTAAAACTTGTCAAATATTCTACAGTATCAAAATCCCACCTTTCCTTAGAAATTCTTTCTCCCAAATGTGACCATTAAGTCTTAAAAGAAACCCACCGTTTTCTTCAGCAAACTGTTTGGCTTCTTCATAGGTAACATCTCTCTGTGCCTCCAAATCTGCTTTATTTCCTATGAGAATTATTACCTAATTTGTGATCAAAAGAAAGACATCTTAAAACAAAAGCAATCATTTAAAACAACCATGCAAATTCTGAAACCCAAAAACCTTGAAAGAAAAAACATATGGGCCTAAAAAGGAAAGCAAGTACTAGCAATTATCCACTATGCAGGACTACAGAATCATAAAATCATACTAAGTACTAAGTACTAAGAAGGATATTGGTAATCATTTCAGTAAAGAGTAGATAGTATATTTTTCGGGTTTGTAGGCCCCACATGGTCTCTGTTGCATTATTCTTTGCTGTTTGTTTTTATCTTTTTACAACCCTTTAAAATTGTAAAAATCATTCTTAGTTTGCAAGCCATTTAAAAACAGGCCATGAGCCAGATGTGGCCCACAGGCCAAACTTTGGTTACACCTGGTCTAATCCAAAGATGATTTATCTGAGTAACATTACTAAGGATCCATGGAAAAGCTCCAGGGGATCTGTGAATGCCCTGAACTTAAGCATAAAATATTATAAACATGGACATTCCATGGCTTTCATCAGATCTTCCAAAGGTTCTGAGACCCTCAAAAAGTTTAAAAACCATTAGGTTCAACTCCCTCAGGCTACCAGTGAAGAAATAAGGCTCAAATAAAGCAAAGGGATTTGCCAAAGGTCATTCAGTGAGTCAGTGGCAGGAGGACATTAGAACCCAGGCAGAAAGCTCAAACTGGTGACTTCTGGACAAATACTGTCCTACCCCTAGATAACCCATCCCTAGGCAGGACTAAGTTTATAGTGTTGGTAACAAATATCTATGTGTGTATCCAGAAGGGGCAGATGGGGCTAGGGATGGGAGCAGGGAGAGCATATATGCAATAAGTTCAAATCCAAGGCAAAATATCACACCTATACCCACTCTGGAGTCACTTAAAAGATACAGCTGAAGTTAGGCCAAAGTTAAAGGCAGCTCTGCAAAGGTATAAGAAAAAAGTACATCACTTTAAGAAACAGCAAAGGCCTTTGGCCTTTATTTTGGGGGTGGGTTATGGATAAACTGTATACATATATATAAGCTTGTCTGACACCAATTGGTAAAATCCCCCCCCCTTCCTCTTCCACACAGATATGGTACTTTAGACATGGCTACTGTAGGAATGGATGGTTTTGACTAAAAAGGCACTTCCACCATTATCTTCTTATTCCATGCTCCTGGCTCTTTCACTTACAAAAATTTGTGTCCAATAAACTAAATAACCACTTTGATCTGAATGTAAACCTTGTGCAAAGACAGTTAAATAGTACAACAAAAGTGAGCAATCTTCAATCATTGTGAACAAGTACCTAGTGTAAAGGGAAAGAGGGAAAGAAATGTTCATATATAGTCTACTAGTCTTTTATTTGTTTATTTTTCTAGCTCATCACCAAGTTTTATTACTCCAAATTCTTTTTTTTTTCCAGCATATTACGGGGTTACAAATGTTAAGGTTTCATATATTGCCCATGCCCCGCATCCCCCCTCCCACCTGCCCGACACCCGATAAATGTTATTCCTATATGCCCACTTAAGTGTTGATCCATTAATACCAATTTGCTGGTGAGTACATGTGGTGCTTGTTTTTCCATTCTTGAGATACATCACTTAGGAGAATGGGTTCCAGCTCTATCCAGGAATATACAAGAGGTGCTGTATCACCATTGTTTCTTAAAGCTGAGTAGTACTCCATGGTATACATATACCACATTTTATTAACCCACTCATGTATTGATGGGCACCTGGGTTGTTTCCACACCTTTGCGATTGTGAACTGTGCTGCTATAAACATTTGAGTGCAGGTGTCCCATTTGTAGAGTGTCATCTGATCTTTTGGGTAGATGCTCAGTAGTGGAATTGCTGGATCAAATGGCAGATCTACTTGTATTGCTTTAAGGTATCTCCATATTGTTTTTCACAGAGGCTGAACCAGTTTGCAGTCCCACCAGCAGTGTAGGAGTGTTTCTAACTCTCCGCATCCATGCCAACATTTATTGTTTGGGGACTTTTCCATAAAGGCCATTCTTACTGGAGATAAGTGATATCTCATTGTGGTTTTGATTTGCATTTCCCTGATGATTAGAGATGTTGAGCATTTTTTCATATGTTTATTGGCCTTTATTCTGTCTTCTTTTGAAAAATTTCTGTTCGTGTCCTTTGCCAACTTTTTGATAGGGTTGTTTGATTTTTTTCTTGCTGATTTTCCTGAGTTCTAAATAGATTCTAGTTATCAGCCCTTTATCAAATGTGTAGCTTGCGAAAATGTTCTTCCATTCTGTGGATTGTCGGTTTGCTCTCGACAGTTTCTTTGGCTGTGCAGAAGCTTTTTAATTTGATCAGGTCCCATTTATTTATTTTTGTTGCTGTGGTGATTGCCTTTGGGGTCTTCTTCATAAATTCTTTGCCTAGGCCAATGTCTAGAAGATTACTTCCAACGTTTTCCTCTAGGATTCTAATAGTTTCACACCTAATGTTCAAGTCTGTTACCCAGCGTGAGTTGATTTTTGTGAGAGGTGAAAGGTGTGGGTCCTGTTCCAGTCTTCTGCATGTGGCTATCCAGTTTTCCCAGCACCATTTACTGAATAAGGATTCTTTTCCCCAGTGTATGTTTTTGTCTGGTTTGTTGAAGATTAAATGTTGGCTATCTGAGGATGGTTTTATATCTGGGTTCTCTGTTCTGTTCCACTGGTCAATGTCCCTGTTCTTGTGCCAGTCCCAAGCTGTTTTAATTACTATAGTCTTGTAGTATAGTTTGAAATCTGGTAAATTGATACCTCCTATTTTGTTTTTATGCCTAGGATTGATTTTGATATATGGGGTCTTCTCTGGTTCCATACGAAGCATAAAATTAATTTTTCTGTATCTGTGAAAAATGATGATGGTATTTTAATAGGGATTGCGTTGATTCTGTAGGTCACTTTGGGTAGTATAGACATTTTAATGTTAATTCTGCCGACCCATGAGCATGGTCTATTCTTCCACTTGTTTATGTCCTCTGCTATTTCTTTCTTCGGTGTTTCATAGTTCTCCCTGTAGAGGTCTTTTACCTCCTTAGTTAAATATATTGCAAGGTACTTTATTTTCTTTGTTCTATTTTGAAGGGAATTGAGTCTTTGATTTGGTTCTCACTTGTACTGTTGTTGGCGTACATGAATGCCTCTGATTTCTGTGTACTGATTTTGTATCCTGAGACTTTACCAAATTCATTTATCAGATCAAGGTCTCTTGGTTGAATCCTTGGGGGTTTCTAGGTATAATATCATGTCATCAGCAAAGAGTGAGTTTGATCTCTTCTGCTCCCATTTGGACGCCCTTAATTCCACTCTCTTGTCTGATTGTTGTAGCAAGGACTTCCAGCACTATGTTGAATAGAAGTGGAGATAGTGGGCAACCTTGTCCAGTTCCAGTTCTAAGTAGAAATGCTTTCAATTTTTCCCCATTCAGTATGATATTGGCTGTGGGTTTGTCATATATGGCTTGTATCATTTTTAGGTAAGTCCCGTCTATGCCTATTTTGTTGAGCGTTCTTATCATAAAATGGTGGTGAATTTTGTCAAATGCTTTTTCTGCATCTATTGAGAGGATCATATGGTCTTTATTTTTGCTTCTGTTTATATGGTGAATTACATTTATAGATTTGAGTATGTTGTTCATCCCTGGGACGAAGTCCACTTGGTTGTGATGGATTATTTTCTTGACAGGCACCTGGATTCAACTGGCTAGGATTTTGTTGAGAATTTTTGCATCTATATTCATAAGGGATATTGGTCTGTAGTTTTCTTTTTTTGTTGCATCCTTTCCTGGTTTTGGTATCAGGGTTATGTTCACTCCACTAGTCTTTTAAAGAACAAAGTAATGACACTTAAAAAGGAAATCAATTTATAGAAAATCAAGTCTGGTAAAATCAGAGTGGCCTAGTGCAAGGCCATTATAAGACAAGTACTCAAAACAAGAACTACTGCTTCCCCTCCCAATTCACTGTGAATTTCCAAACTGGGCTTTCTAACTCCCTAAAAGGGGAGACATAAAGTGGCATGCTAATTACACAGAGGTACAATACATGCCAGCAACAAAATGAGTACATAACTTCTACATAGAAATCAAAGGCAACCTTATAGAAAATACAACATTTGAACTGGACCTTAAAAGATTTTTTTTCTTCTGAAGCTCCAGTTAGATTTCAAAGTGCATAAATGAGACAAGAAAGACACACAGTTAATTTTTATATACTCCTCCATGGACCCTTTACAGTGAATTTTGTTTTAACATTTTATTTGAAATAACTACAGACTCACAGAGCTTAAAAAAATAAGGTCCTATGAACCTTCACCAAGGTACCCCATTGACAGCAACTTACATAACTATACAGTACACTCTCAAAACTTTAAGACATTGGTATACTCTACAGACCTTATTCATATTTCACAGTTTTTACAGGAAAGAGAGAGAGAGAATATGAATGTGTGTATAGTTAGTATAAGCAATTTTATCACAGGTATAGATTTGTGTCTATAACAGAATACAGAACTGTTGCCTTGCTACAAAGAAACTGCTTTGTGCTGCCCTCTTTATAGTCACACCACTCCCACCCTCCACCCCCATTGCAAACCCCTGGCAACTACTAATCTATTCTCCATCTCAGTAATTTTGACATTTTGAAAATGTTTTATAAATGGAATCACATAGTATATATATAACCTTTTGAGACTGGCTTTTTTTTACTCAGCATAATGCCCTTGAGATCCATCTCAAATTGTTGCATGCATCAATAATTCATTCCTATGTATGGCTGAGTAGTAGTCCACTGTATGGATGTACCAGATCATTTAACCACTCACCTAACAAAAGCCAGCTGGGCTGTACCCAGTTTTTGGCTACTGAGTAAAAATGCTATCAACATTCACCTACAGGTTTATATGTACACCTACAAGGGGTTTAATGTGATAATGGAAATGAATGTTACAGGCACAGTCCCCTAACATAACAGGCAAACAATGTTAACTGACTCCCAATATGATTAAATTGCTATTCCTAATAAAAGCTAATCTTACACTGATTACATTATTTGCTGAGCCAGGCCTCTGCTAGGGCTGGGGACATAATGCAAAGTGAGGCACAGGCCTTGTTCTTGTGAAGCTCAGTCAGTCACAGCACAGTGCCCTTCCTCACATTGTTCTGGGAATACCCTCTACAACTTCTACTGAAACCTAACCCACCACCCCTCCCCAAGGACCAGTTTGAACACCACTCCTCTGTACAGCTTGTTTCTCCAGATGGCACTGACCATCGGTCCCCCAGCACTGTGCTGGGGAATTCATATTTCAGTCTGCTCTGCAACATGGTTATCTGGATACTTGCTGGTTCTCTCCCTGCTAGCCTATTAACTTCTTGGGGACCAAGGACCAACATTTATCTTTGTACACTGCAGTCTGGCATGGCATCTGGCCTTTAAAATCTCAATAAAGAACTTCCAGTCTGGTTAAGATGCTAGTTTTTTAAAGCATGGAGAACCCTTTTGATTTTTAATTGACATTTTTATTGAGATAACTGCAGATTCACATGCAATTATAAGAAATAACAGGGAGATCTCTTGTACACTTTACCCAGTTTTCTTCAATGGTAACATTCTATGAAACTAATGCAGAGCCCTTTCAACATTATAATTTCAGATTCCAAATTGACACAAGATCACCACCACATTCACAACATTTTTAAAACCACAAACAAACAAAAAAACTAAGTATAATAAAAGGCAAAATCTGAGATAATTAGAACTGAAAAAAAATGTTAAATTTTCTTCAATTAATTGAAGAATAAAATAAATATTTTCTCATTCTTAGTATTTAAATACAAAAATCTCACCAGTAAATGGCTTTCCTTTTTGAGTTAGCTTAGATCTTAATTTTCTGTATAATAAAATGTCATTTAACTTACAGTATTTGGATTGGTGAGATTCCGTGCATCTGTCAACCAGCTGCTTAAGTGGTTATATGTACTTCTTCTGCAAAAATTAAAGTTTAAATTTGTGACTACCATGTAATTGCCATTTAAAGAGAAAAGAAACTTCAACAAATATTTAAAATATATACTTTAATCAACAGATCCTAAAAGAGTATTCTTGCTTTGACTAGTTAATTTGAAGAACAGTTGTGAAATACAATCACATACTTTTCAAATATCTAGCCAAACCCATTACATTTAAGCAAATAACTCGATATCCAACAACTTTGCTAATTACATGTCAGAAGTAATTGTTTACATTTAAAAGCACATTGTGGACAGGTCAATACGCAAGCAATGAACAATACAGAAAACTGTTAGAAAATTCTGCACTCAGAATTTCCAATCTGAAGTCAAAACTAAAATTTTTAAATCATCCAGATTTTCAATCACAAAACAGAGACAAATGAGAATCAAAATGCCTAACCAATAGCACATTCAATGAAAATATTTTTTTGAAAATATTTTTGTATGTCTTTAAATTTTAATTTTCAATTAGAAACCAAGACAGTCAACACTATAATAAGCTGGCACATAATTCACCTTTCCTTAATAATTAAAGAGTAAACTAAACTATAACTGCATAAAAACTGGCTTTAAAAAGACATTTAATACATCTGACTAGAAATTGAAGTACCCAGACATCAGGAAAAAAGTTTATTCTAACTTTGTACTCTTACTTATCAGGCAGCTAAATCATTTGGGATTCAGATTGTCCCATTTCTATACTTTCTCTAAGCAAGAGCTTAAAAACTCATAGGTTCATTTTCACTAGCCAAATAGGCGCTAAGATGGCAAACAAACCCAAATTATTTACAACATTATACAGAATAGAATCTACCAAAGGGGTCAAGACAACAAAAAAGGTTAAAAATGTTCTGATTTACAGACTCACAGGACATTAATCCATCTTACTTATTTACCATGTGAGGAAACAGAAGCCCATAAAGATTTAAAAGATGTCAAAGCCAGGCCTTGAGCCCTTTTACACATACCTCTGTCCTCCAAGTGTTTCTAGTTTACCCTTATGAATATATTCCATGCTCTCCAGCTGCCAGCACTCACATAAATTTCAATATTCAAAATATTTAATCCTTTCCCAATGACAACTGATAAGAACTTGTTTCTCAGGTTCCTTTTTGGTACTTTATCATAGTATACATAAATCTCCATTTAAATGTCAAAACAAAAATGCCATATATCAAAATAGCGCCCCCCCCCAACAGTGTTTCAGAATTTTCTAAGTAAACAACGTTCAAATATCATTTTTATTTATTTTTTTTTTTTTTAAGTTTTTTTCTCACTTTGTTGCCCAGGCTAGAGTGAGTGCTGTGGCGTCAGCCTACCTCACAGCAACCTCAAACTCCTGGGCTCAAGCAATCCTACTGCCTTAGCCTCCCAAGGACTACAGGCATGCGCCACCATGCCCGGCTAATTTTTTTCTTATAAATTAGTTGGCCAATTAATTTCTTTCTATTTACAGTAGAAACGGGGTCTTGCTCTTGCTTAGGCTGGTTTCGAACTCCTGACCTCAAGCAATCCGCCCACCTCGGACTCCCAGAGTGCTAGGATTACATGCGTGAGCCACCGCGCCTGGCCTTACTTTTTAGCTTTCATAGAGTTAGTGTCTCACTATGTTGCCCAGGCTGGTCTTGAACTCCTGGCCTCAAGCAATCCTCCTGCCTCAGCCTTCCAAACTGCTGAGATTACAGGCATGAGTCACTATGCCCAGAGCAAGTATCATTTTTGAAAAGCACAGGCCTTATCACTGTACAATATTTGTAGTACTGGCATACCTTGACTTTACACAAGTATGTTTTACTTCATGAACAAACCTTAAATAAGCCTAAACATTTATGCTGATTTTGATAAATTTAAAATTTCAAAGCTGGCAGGGAAAGTGAGATAAACAAAAAGGCTTTTGTAAATACTATTGTATCAAGATCTTATAAACCACATTATTTACAGGTACCATAACTTCTGCCAAGGTTTCTGGAAGTTATGCTAGTAACTTAAAATTCAATTTAAAATATAATGATAATCTTAAATCTATAAATAAATATTCATTAATTGGTGGTACTAGTGCTTTAAAAAATGCTAAAATTTTCCTAACACTGATGTGGATGTTAGACATATCAAATTGATATGGCAAAAAACTGCCAGGGCTATGCTGTCAATCTAAAAAAGCACCCTCTAACAATTAGAGTTAATGCCAAGAATAAAAAGTATTATTCTTTTAAGTTTGCAAAATGTCAAGGATTAAAACAGAAAAAAACTGGTACCGTGTCTGTAACATCAAAAGTATCACCGAGTCAAGAAAGCACCTGCCTATGCCAGGTAAGGTGGCTCATGCCTGTAATCCTAGCACTCTGGGAGGCTGAGGCGGGAGAATTGCTTGAGGTCAGTAGTTCAAGACCAGCCTGAGCAAGAAGGAGACCCTGTCTCTACTAAAAATAGAAAAAGTAGCCAGACATCATGGTGCATGCCTGTAGTTTCAGCTACTGGGGAGGCTAAGGCAGGAGGATCACTTGAGCCCAGGAGTTTGAGGTTACAGTGAGCTATGATGATGCTACCACACTCTAGCTTGAGCAACACAGAAAAAAAAAGTACTTGTCTAAAGTCTGAAGTACTTTTTTCCAATAAGTTTTATTAAGATATAATGAACATATCATAAAGCTTGCCCTTTTAAAAGCAATAAGTATATAACTTATTTTTAGTACATTCACAAAGTTGTGCAACTGATCACCCCTCTCTAATTCTAGAACATTTTCATCACCCTAAAGAGAAACAAACCCTTATACCCAATAGAATGCACTTCCCAAACCCTAGCAATCCACTTTCTGTCTCTACAAATTTACCTAATTCTGGATATTTCATAAATGAAATCATACAATATGTGTCCCTTTTGTGTCTGGCTTCTTTCACTTAGCATGTTCTCAAGTATTATCTACATTGTAGCATGTATTAGTACTTTTTCCTTTTTATAGCTGAATAACATTCCATTATATGGATATATCACATCATGTGTATCCATTTAGTTGAAGGACATTTCAATTGTTTCTAAATGAAGTACTTTTGATGACTCGAAGCAATACAAAAATCTTACCGAAGTATTTACTATGTTTATAAGGAAGGTACATTTAAAAGAAAAAACAAATACATTTTAAACACACATCACTATAAATTTTATTAAAAATGCATGGAGTTTTTAATTATGTGAAGTCTTCAGAAATGCATTCCTCATTTTTAAAATGAGACAATTCTATATAGATGGCCAAGTTCCTTAACAGTCTTTCCACTATTTCTATTTTTCCTACTATTTACTGATCATATTACTAATTGCCTGGCCATAGTGAAGAGCATTATGGCTTGTTTCACTCTGTTTTGCTCTGAGATCACCCAATTCGAGAATTTACTGAAAATTTAAGCACTATAATTATAATCAGCCACTATCTTTATTCTAACGCATCCCAAAGTACGTTCCTCAATAAAATAAGCTTAGGAAACACCAAATTTAACAAAGTTAAACAGTAAACAATTTCTTTACTGCAGAATTTCCCATGCTCATTTGCACTGTGATACTTTAAGAGGAAACAGTATAAAGTATTTGTGAAAAGGAAATATGTTTGAAAGTCTAATTATCACTTGGTCCCACTCACCCATCTCTACCCCCCAAAAAAGAGTCACGCTACTTTTTACTGGTGCTTTGCATCAACATGAAAGGTGATCCAGTTCATTTTCTACCTTATAGAAAAACAGCAGTTTGAATGACATAGCACAGTTTTCCATGTTCTCCAAAGCCAAACCTTTACATACAGTAGTTTCATTTCTTTATATCAAGTACTCTGAGTTTCCAGAAATAGCTATGTTGAAGTAAATTTAATCTGCCACATGCAGTATTCGAAGTCACTTTAATCCATTTTAAGACAAAAAAAAATTTAAGTAAATGAACAATTAAATATACTCAAAACTTTCAGGTGCAAGCTTAGAACTTTTTATGATTTCCCATGCTGTATTAGCAGAACTAATTAATTCTTCGCTTGGCCTTATTTTGAGAAGATGTAAACTTTAACACTAGAAACTGAATAGAGTAATTCCCCAAGACTTGTTTACTTTTTACTGAAATGAAAGAACAGTATAAAATATTATTTCTCCTCAAATAATTCAACTGATGCTGCTTTTCAAACTATATTCTTCTACTAGCTCTACCCAACATCTCCCTAAAGTTTTTCTTCAGTCATACTGACTTTCAGAAAAGGAAACAAACATGTTATAATCAAGTTTTATATACCAACTTATAGAGAAGAAACCCAAATAAGTTCATTTACAGTCATACAATTACAAATGAAAGAATACCTAAATCGATTTCTTTTAAAAATTACCCAAAGTTATCATCTGAATCTGAGTGAAAAGATGAATTTATAAAAATTTTTTAAAAAATTACCCAAAGTAGATTTTTTTCCCCAAGTAGGAAGGTTGAAAAATGATTAATCTCTTACCTAGTGATATCATACACCATAAGGGCTCCTGCAGCTCCTCTGTAGTAGCTTCGTGTAACAGCCCTAAACCGTTCCTGTCCTGCTGTATCCCAAATCTGCAGTTTGATTTTTTGGCCACTAACTTCGATTATTCTTGTACCAAATTCAACACCAATTGTATGAGGACAATCAGCCATAACTGTTAGAGAGGGAAAAAAATATATCCCAACTTTCAGAAAACTTCAAATTAAAGAACTAAAGAAAAATCCACTGAATAATTAAATGATTTACTGATACTAATGGGCTAGAAACAGACTAAAGCTACCACTGGAAACAAAAATTAGCGAAGACCCAGAAGAAGGAAAGAAATGTGACTGGACTAAAATGAGTGTCAGCAAATCTCTGAAAAGGACTAAATGGTAAACATTTTAAAGTTTTGTAGGCTAAAAGGTCTCTGTCACAACTATTCAACTGAAACAGGCAGTGAATAGATTTGGCCTACTGGCCACAGTTTGCTGACCCCTCAACTGAAAGAATCTGCTAAGTAAAAAAAAAGGATTTTAACACTTCACAGTATCAATATTACACTATTTAGCCTTCTGACAATCATTACCTATAAACAAATCAATCAATGGTCTTGGGACTCTGGGAGTTGTTCGTCAAACAAATTTTTATCCTAGAAAATATTAACAGTGTCTCAAAGAAAATCATCATGCTTAATATATACTTATTACACAATGACAAGTTATATATGTTTAAGCCAACAGGACAGATTTATTAGCCCTTTCCTTATAATTAGTCCACTTACAACCTAAACCCACTACTCTTTGGTACAGGTACACAGACCACACTGTACACTTCATAAAACGTCAAACCTCTGTGGTAAGCAGCACAAAAATGCCGAAGAAATAATTTCAACTATATAGGAATGCTTTCAATTGTATTTAGCATATCGGTTACAACAAACTGGTCCCTTCCGCTATCACCCATGACAGTAGAAAGAATTCCACCTTAAGTATTTCATATCTATTATTTTACAAATAACATAACCAGCAAATCTTCCCTGATAACCAATTTCTGTAACAGAAAAAGATTACCTGAATTTGACATTATTCTACGCATTTTAAAAAATTAACTTTAAATTTTTAGCAAGAAATCTAAACAAGTGAATCCAATTATATAATGTGTACAAAAGTCAACACGCTAAAATATACTGGTATATGTCATTTCATCTGTACCTATTAAAAATTCACTGTACCTTAGGACAAAAGTGCCAATATAGGGAAAGGTTATACTTAAATGCATAAGGTACACTAAAAATGACACTTTTTAAAAAGCAAAAACATGATAATAAAGAAATCTATTAATATTTTACCTCACATATTGAACTTACATTTTTTTTCTGTAAATTGATGAAGCAAGCAAGATTTTCCTACTCCCATGTCCCCTGTTTAAAAAAAAAAGTTTCAGGTGACAGTTGTATTTCTTAATTTTATGTTCTTACAATTATACGCAATGATTGCTAAACCCCTTACTATATCACACCCCAAGTTTCTGGGACACAGAAAAACTGTACTTTCCTACTTTATAATGGAGTCAAAAGATCTTAGGTCAGTTTCACTGTAGTATATAAATTGACTCTTCCCAACCTTCAGCAGTGACAGTATTTGGTTGTCAATTATTACATTAATAAATAACCACCAGTTGGGAAGAACTTTTTAAGAGAGAACTTAAATTGTTGTTATGGTATTTTTTACTTTGGGCTATTTCAAAGTTTTGTTTTGGTTTTTTCCCTTAACCCATGCACAGAAGTAAAAGATTCCTAAGAATGACAAATGGGGCAGCATATAACAAGCATAAATAACCAAGTTTTGGAAGCTTGATTCAACTAGGTCCCTATCTCATCTCATATTTCTTATATTTCTCATAGACTTCCATAAAATAAAAAAATTTGCACTATATGAAAACCAATAAAAGAACAGATATCTGACTGTACTATAGCAATTTTAACTGTTGGTGAAGGAAACATTATAAAGTCATGTAACCTCAACATTAAACTGTTCTAATGTAAATAATTCACTGAAAAGCATCTGTACTTTAAAATGTACTCTTACAACCATGCTTGGATAAATAGCATTAAGACTTTTGAGAAAAATCTTGAAATTTAAGGGAAAAACACCAAGTGAGGGAAATATTATATTTTATGTATATTATACAATTTACTCTGAATCAAACAATATTCTCTACCAACTTTTGGAACCTGGGGGATCCGAGGACTTTCATGGTGTTTTTGGAATGTTTCAGCACTCCTAGGACATTATCTCATTCCCAGTATCAACAAGCTTTCAAGCAGCCCTCAAGAACAACCAACATCAAATCACAAAGTACCCAGCACTGTACTATAGAAGTATCCAGGGTCACAATGCAAAAGATACATTGTTAATGCAAAAATAAATCTTATTAAATAAAGGATCTTTAGTTTTACAGTGAGAAAAATCACTTCTTCAGAAGTGATACTGTTTAAGTATTAGTACATAAATAGTTTGTATGTGAACCTTCTTTGTGTAACAAGAGTGTAAGTTAAATAAACTTACCAATAATTATATATTTAAAGATGTAAGAGTAGTTGTACGGTGCAGTTGCCATGGTGGCACTAAAAACAAAGAAAACTGTGTTACTTAAGAAAAGTATACACACAAATTATTCAAACTGATCACTGCTATCCTTTAAAGATATATAAGATAAAGCACACTGAATACAAACAAAATGTTGGTTACAATAAGTCTTAATAAAATCGCATTTCCCATATTGATGAAATATACAAATCCTCTTAGATGAATGATGCTTTAACATTCTCATGCATTATTCATAGAAACATGAGAAACTGTCCAGGCACAGTGGCTCATGCTTGTAATCTCTGCACTTTGGGAGGCTGAAGAGGGAGAATTGGATTGCTTGAGGCCAGAGTTCAAGACCAGGCTGGGCAACATAGCAAGACCCTGTCTCTACAGAGATAGTAAGAATTAGCCAGGCATGGTGGCACGCACTTGTAGTCTCAGCTACTCAGGAGGCTGAGGCAGAAAGATCATTTGCACCCAGGAGTTGGAGGCTGCAGTGAGCTATGAATCCCGCCCACTATGCTCCAGCCTGGGCAACTAAGAAATACCCTGTCTGTCTCAAAAATAAAACAAAAAACCATCAAAAAAAGAGAAACCATTTACACCCAAACAACTCCAATATTTTACTTTAGGAAACATCCAATAAAAAATATTACTCTGGAAAATTTCAAACAAAGAAAGTCTTCATAAATTTAAGTTAAACATCATTATGAATAGTCCCCTCTGCCTCTAAAGTTCCCTTCAATGTTAACCGATCAAGTGAGTTACTGATGGCATACTTGTTCAGAACCTGATTTTAAACAGAATGTATATATAAAAAAGAATTATTAACTTATAAACAAAATAACTTTTTTACTCTATTTTAAATCAATAGTTAAGCAAAACATCCAAAGAAAGCAATCATATGATTTCCAAACAAAATTAATGTTAGAATTAAATTGAATCACATGAAACTGTTATCCCTATAGATTTAAGTCAATTATTATTGGCAATTTCACAGGCTCAACCTGATATAGGACTTGCAGATTAATAATATATTAGGTGCTTGCTATATACTATTCTAGGAGCTGAGAACTAATGCCATAAAATTGTATTTGTGGTTGTAAAATTTGAAAGTTTCTATATTAGAAGATATTTCAAAAGATCACAGCCCATTCCTAACCCTCACATAAACTTAACCTGAAGAATTCTAATTTCTCTACTTAAAAAAAACCAAAATCTCTCCAATTTATTCAAATTAATGCCTTGAATGTGTCAGACATTGTGCTAGGTGCTAGAGAAACAAGGGATGAATTCTTATACTTGTAATAACTTCTAATAAAGTTTATTCTCAAACTAGTATTCAGCTTAAGACAAAAGTTCTTTATATATATATGAAGATTTAATCTGATTTTTAAAGTTTGATTAGTATTTTTTAATCTGGTTTTTACTGTGTTTGTCAATGTCACATTACACAAGGCTGACATACGGCACCACTGGTGACATTTATTTACTGAAATTATTACCTTATCATATACCATATTTCAAGTAAAAGTTCTATATAACTAATAAAATTTAATCTGTAGAAAGAATATATATTTAAAATAAGTGAATCATTTTATCATGGGAGAGAAAGTTGTTAATTACAACAAATTATTAAACAATCACTTTACACAATACAGTCTTCTCATTTAGCTATATGTATTACACTGAGCAAAAGTAGATGCCTTGCTATACATTCCAGTTTGGCATGTTCCAACACATTTATAATCAGTCTTCTGCATCACTGAAAACTTCCTTAACCAGTTCTTTCAGGGAAAGGAGTTTTTCTGGTTAGGTTTACTCTGATTCTGAACATTATAATAATTTTATTCCCTTTTCCAGGGGTAGGAACTCAAAACTTATTTGAACTTGGGCCAGGTGCAGTGGCTCATGCCTGTAATCCCAGGACTTTGGGAGGCTGAGGCAGGAGGATTACTTGAGGCCAGGAGTTTGAGACCAGCCTAGGGAATACAGTAAGACCCCATTTCTACAAAAAAATTTAAAAATTAGCCAGATGTGTTGGCACATGCCTATAGTCTCAGCGTCTCAGGAGGCTAAGGTGGGAGGACTGCTTGAGCTTGAGAGTTTTAAGTTTACAGTGAGCTAGAGCTATGATCGGGGCTACTACACTCCAGCATGGGGGACAGAGAGATGCCACCTCTAAAAAAAAAAAAAAAAAAAATGAATGAACTTGGTCCCGAGGCTAAAATTGGTCTAGATTATTCACCACTTCTCTAACCCAGATGCCAAATACAGAGAGAAAAATAATCTTACATTAAAAATGATATTTCAGGCGGGCACCGTGGCTCACGCCTGTAATCCTAGCACTCTGGGAGGCCAAGGCGGGCGGATTGCTCGAGGTCAGGAGTTCGAAACCAGCCTGAGCAAGAGCGAGACCCCGTCTCTACTATAAACAGACAGAAATTAATTGTCCAACTAACATATATAGAAAAAATTAGCCGGGCTTGGTGGTGCATGCCTGTAGTCCCTGCTACTCGGGAGGTTGAGGCAGCAGGATTGCTTGAGCCCAGGAGTTCGAGATTGCTGTGAGCCAGGCTGTTGCCACGGCACTCACTCTAGCCTGAGCAACAAAGCGAGACTCTGTCTCAAAAAAAAAAAAAGATATTTAAAGGTTTTTTGTTTTTTTTTGGACAGAGTCTCACTCTGTTGCCCTGGCTAGAGTGCTGTGGCGTCAGCCTAGCTCACAGCAACCTCAAACTCCTGGGCTCAAGCAATCCTGCTGCCTCAGCCTCCCGAGTAGCAGGGACTACAGGCATGCGCCACCATGCCCGGCTAATTTTTTCTATATATGTTAGTTGGACAATTAATTTCTGTCTGTTTATAGTAGAGACGGTGTCTCGCTCTTGCTCAGGCTGGTTTTGAACTCCAGACCTCGAGCAATCTGCCAGCCTCGGCCTCCCAGAGTGCTAGGATTACAGGTGTGAGCCACCACGCCTGGCCATTTAAAAGTTATTAACTTCAAATCTGCATCCTTCCCAGACTCTTTTCTTCTAATTAATTTTTAACTCCACTTCTAAACTCTTCTTTCCCCAAATGTAGGTAACAGTAATCACTTAGCCACCTTCAAATTATTGTTTCTCTTGTGTTCTTCCCTTGATTTTCCTATTTCCATTCCTCCTTCTAACTAAAAGTTCTGGCTGTACATACTTTACTTCCTTCCACTATGGCCGCTAACAATTCCAATTTCTTCTTCAAATGCTCTGAAGGCTAATCATGAAATTACAACCCAATTCTAGTTGTACTCATTTGTGTATCTGCTAATTATCATACAAAGCATTCAGTTATTAAATATCTGAGAACACTAATTTTGAAAAAAAAAGTCTTAATTACAAGCATTAATATAGTAGAAACTATTTCCAAATAAAAGAAATGATCACTATTTCAGATTGAATACCAGCACTTTGTCTCCACCTTACCACACAATTTTCTGGTTCAAGTTTCTTTAAAAATTACAAATAAAAACCGTAAAAGCAGACTTAAAGGAAAACTATTCAAATTTACTAATTTCAGTAGACAACGAAGGCAGAAAACATCTAACACTGTAGCCACCTACACCTAAAACAGTACCTCTCTTTCTTACTCTAAGAAAATACTGGCTAGGTTTACATATATTCCCATAGTTTATTGATAAATTCAGTCAAAATTATGTATTTGCAGTAGAACTATACTCAGTGACCCCCTTTAAACATTAACTATGCTTAATACTGCTTTAACAAAGGATTTCCCAACCTCATTTCTTCAACATAAAACATACTACAGTTGAGGTGAGGAATGTATTTTTACCGAGCTTTGGAAAAGGGAAAAAGAAGTTTTTCCCCTGGTATTCACTGGTGCTTTTGTTTTACTTAGAGAACTCTCCAGTCCAAAAAAAGGACAAGAAATGTTAGTCTAATTGAGACACTCTGAAAACATGAGTCCACTCAACACTAACGCTCTCCACTACTTAAAAAAAAAAAAACCTTGGTACCTTGGTAATATTTCACACTTGTACATAACTACTGGGGCGATTAAAATCACTTTTTTCCATGTTTTACAAAAAGCATCTGAATAAAGTTCATATGTAAACAAGATCTCCTTTAATGCCTTAGATTTCTTTAAGAAAAAAGGAGTACTACATTTCAGACAACAGGTGTCATTAAATACATAATGAACAACTTGTAAACTAATAACAAAAACAATTGTTATAGTTACCATTTATTGTGCATTTAACATATGCCAAGCAATGTGCTAAATACTTCACATGCAATTTCATTTAATCCCTACTATTATCCTTACAATATAGTTACTATTATCTTCATTTTACAGATGAGGAAATAGACTCAACAGGTAACATGCCCAGGTTACACAGCCAAATCTGTACTAAGCCAGCCTAGGACTGTTCCGCTGCAGATTCTCTTCCACACACTCCACCCCTTTATCACTACACCATCCTGCCTCCTCCACATGTTTATGAGATGTACAATGAAGCTCTATAGCATTCACTCACTTGGTTCTAATATTCGGAATAAGAAGTATTAAATAATTACATTCAGAAGATACAATGTGATCAGAACTTATAGACACAGATGAATGGTAATACTGGTAATAATTTATAATACTGTAATTTATCTACTTACAAAAAAGTTTCTTAAGGGAACTAATATTTGAGAATAAACCATGCAATGATGATCTATACTACTTTTCCCTACACTGTCTTTTATAATTCTTACTTAATTCTCACAACTCTGCAGAGTCATTATCATTATGTCCATGCAAAAATTGAAGAAACTGAGACTTGGAGAAATTCACTAATTTGGCCAGGGTTACAAAGTTAGTAAATGGGAACTTGAACCCAGACCTGATTCCAAAGACCATGATTATCCCTACCTAACGTAGTTTATTACAGATATATTCAGACAGATTGATAAAAGCAAAAAATCAAAATTAGAAAAAGAGGGATGATAATTTTACTAAAAGTTTAGGGTAACAGCATTTCTATCAGTGCATGTAAAATTTAGCTTTAGACTTCCTGGTTGTCAAGAGAAATGTTTACTAAATGCATAGTTAACACTAATAATTATTGTACCATGCATTCAAGTGGCCGCTTTAAAATATTAACTATGCTTAATATTGCTTTAACAAAGAATTTCTCAACCTCATCTCTTAAACATGAAATATACCACTGTTGAGAAGTATATTTAAAAATGGAGTATGCCATCACATAAAACTCAGCCTCATATATTTTTTGTCGCTCAGTGAAACCATGGATGTATTTCCACATCAATACACTTAAATCTAAATTGTTACTAAACACATATTAAAGATTAATCATTGTTATGACAAAAATAGAATACATGGTTTCTATTTACTGAATCAGACACCTTCCCAAATAAAATTATACAGACATATAAATAAATGGCTTTTGAAATGTACGGGTACAGATGTGAAGGTAAACACTTTCATACACTCTGCTGTGGAAGACTGAAATTCCGCAACATTTTTGGAAAGTAATCAGTATTATTAAATTCTTAAAAATAATTCAAACCATCCTTTGAGCCCAGAAATCTACTTAGAAATACCTTACAGAAACAAAAGCTTCAGTCCACAAGGCTATAGGTGCATTTAACGCACCATTTTTTTTTTTTCCTGAGACAGAGTCTGGCTCTGTTGCCTGGGATAGAGTGCTGTGGTGTCAGCCTAGCTCACAGCAACCTCAAACTCCTGGGCTCAAACAATCCTTCTGCCTCAGCCTCCCAAGTAGCTGGGACTACAGGCATGCGCCACCATGCCCGGCTAATTTTTGCTATATATTTTTAGTTGTCCATCTAATTTCTTTCTATTTTTTTTTTTTTTTTTTTTTTTTTAGTAGAGATGGGGTCTCGCTCTTGCTGAGGCTAAACTCGAACTCCTGACCTAGAGCAATCCTCCTGCCTCGGCCTCCCAGAGTGGTAGGATTATAGGCATGAGCCACCGCACCCGGCCTTCACAACTGTTAAACAGCTGTTTTATTCTACTCCTTAGAGCTTATATTACTACATAATTTTTACATAGCTGATTCAAGACCTAACAATGGGGGAAAAAACAACCTACTAAATATTCCAGGTAATTTAAATTCTCAACCTCGTTATTTCAATTGGTAAGTTTGTTTGGGTTTTTTTTTTTTACATGCAAGACATTTTGTTAAAAACACTATTACCAAGATAGACTGCTTTTGTGATTCCAACATAAAATATTTGTTCAGTATATACTAAGCTCAAAGCATTATGCTAGACTTGGACAACATAGTAGTGATCAAAAAAGACAACATTGTCTCTGCCTTCAAGGAACTCAAGTACAGAAGCATTCTGATTTGCTTAGAGGCCCACTAAAGTGGAATGCTACCTGATTTGTTAGTAAGGTGAACGCAAAACTTCTACAGTTAATCTAAAAACCTAATCAAAATGAGTGGTCAATTTCCTTTTCTCAAAAGTAGTACAACCTCTGACAATAATCCACCCATTTATTCAGTCAGGCCCACTTAAAAAAACAAACTTCACTTTTGACAAGTTATTTAATGTCATATTTTTATATGATGTGAATGATAAAAAAAAATAACAGGATTGCTTAATGTGTCAAGAGAAAGGCAAATCTTCCAGCTAATTAATTATGATGGCATGCTATGTACAGGAAATAAAGTACTCCAATACTGTACCTCTGTTCTCAGAAGTACTTAAAAAAAAAAAAAACTTTACACTTATGCAGCACTTACAACTAGAGTTAAAAGGATTAATAATAACAAAAGAAAATTTTACTGATAGCATGACATCTGAGATTGCTTCAAAATAATTTGGCAGGGAAGAGGCAAGTGTGTACAGATGAAGCAATATTGATCACTGTGGACATTGGCTGATGGGTAAACAAATGTTCAATATGCTACTTTATTTTGTATACATTTAAAATTGTCTAGAATGAAAAGTTTTTAAAAAGTACAGTATCTCTAACAGCTCTATTTGTAATTTGTCTTCAGCCATGCCTAGCATTTTTAGCCACAGAAAAAATTTTCAACCTTTAAAAATCTCTCAACTGCCCTAGCCTTAACCAAGTTTCCTCCAATAATACACTTTACTATTATTATGCAAAGATATTTGATGCTGATAAAAATCAGTTGTGAACATTCCAAATTCTTTTGCAAAGTTGAAGTATGCAACAATTATAAAGCTTAACATGAAATATAAAAAGCAAAAGCTTTTTAAAATGTAGCTTTAATACCAAGGAATTTTTTAACAGCTATTAGTATATAAAGTTATACACCTTCACAATATTGCTATTTAGTCAGTGCCTAATACATGTCAGCTACCTTATAAACAATCTCTCATCCTAAAAATTCATTTTACAAATAAGGAAACCAAGTCAAAGAAGTGATACACCTGTGGTCATATACTACTAAATGGAGAGCTAGTATTAAGGCCCAGGTCTAACTCTACAGCTCTCCAAACCTATCTTTCAACAGATATTAAACACCTACTATGTGCCTGGAACCGTTACAGACATTGGAGCACTTACAATACACCAATCAATATACTAAGGGCTTTCTTTAAATCCCACTTAATCCTAGCAACAACTCTAAGATGTAGGTACAATTTATCCCCTTTATAGATAAGGACACTGAGTCTGAGAGGTTAAGTAACTCGCGTAAGGTCGCTTAACTAACTAGGAAATGGCAGTACTGGAGTGGCAACCCTTGGCAGTATTCATTCCAAAACTCTTAACCACTACATGCCTCAAGGCATGACCAAGTAAAATAAACTAAGCAGAACTCTGGAGAAAAATTCCGAAAAGGCTGGGGAATAGAGGTGGGAGCTGATTGCAAAGTCAAGTTTATTAACCACATTTACATAAAAGGCAGTTGGGATAGTAATGAAATAACCAGAAAACTCTGCAAGAGTTCAAATCTGGGCTCTGACAAATTACCATGGGACCACGAGGAAAGCACCTGCTCTCTCGGAACTGTTTCTACATACATAAAATGGAAATCCTGCCATCCTCTAGGGTTGCAAGCATGAGGATTTGCCAGTGTAGAGGCTGTCATGAACTTTAGGTTATGAAGGGGTAATCAGCGGTCACCCAATGCGAAGAGAGGAAAAAGAAATTAAGTTGTACCTAACATTTTAAATGGTCACGTCTGTAAACGTAGCCTAACTTTGAGTGTAGCACAGAAAACACCAGTCACAGTGTGGGGAGAAGCCAGTTTCCATGCACCATCATTAGCCAGCCACATCACAACTTCAAGCCTCAGTCTCATTTATATAATAAGGACAATTCAACTTATTTCCAAGGGCTACGCGAGGCAAGATAAATATGTATGAAGACACCTAAATCTGTGCCTGGCACACAGTAGAGAGCATACCCTCGAAACACTCTTGTTCTGTCCTCTAGTTCTACAAATGCCAAAACTTTTTCTTCACTATTTTTAGATACTACGTAGGTTCAGAGCCTTCTAAGACGTCCACGGGCCTTACACAGACTCACCAAAACCAGAACCTCAAAAGCACATGCCCACAAACCCCGTCCCAGCCCGGTCCTGAGACAGGTCCCCCACATCTTCAAGGACACCGGAGCTAGTCCAAGATGCCGCCGAGGCTGCGAGGCGCTTGCTGCCTTTTGTACTCAGGGCCTACGGGATGGGAACGCCACGTCCGGGGCTCGCGGGCTGCAAGGCGGCGCGGCACGCGTGGGTAAACACCGCGGGGGCGGCCAGCAGCCGCGGGGAAAGGCGGCAAGGAGAGAGGGGCCTGCGGGAGATGCGGTCCTGCCCAGCTGGGCCAAGGAGGCGGGGAAGGCGAGGCCGGAACACACCCTTCCCGCACGCCGCGGAGCGGAGGCTCCGCTGGGTGGGGAGGCCGAGGCAGCCTGGGCAGGAACAGCGCGAGGGGACACCTCCGCCCCCGCACGGGCGTCCTGTCAGGCCGGCGCCGCGGCGCTCCCCGCCGACCCCCGGGCGCGCCGCGGCCTGACGGGCCCCGGCCCCTGGGCGCCGCCAGCTCGGCCTGGCTCTCTGCCGTCCCCGCCCGCGTCCCTCGGAAGAGCCGGGCGAGGCGGCGCGGCCGGCCGGACACTGCGGAAGGCCTGAGTTACCTGGGGGGTTGCTGGTGGCTGGGCAGCTTTCCGGGCGGGAGGGGGGCGTCAGGACGAGGAAAAGGAGTGCGGACGCAGCGGAAGAGGGGGCGGCGGCGGTCGGCCGAGGCCCCGGCAGACAGGCGGGCTGGCCAAGAGGTGCACCCGTGCCAGAGGCGGTAGCGGTGGCAGCGGCGACTGCTCCTGCGGCTCCCTCAGGATCTTCCTCGGGCAGGTCCAAGATGGCGGCGCTCCCTGCACAGGGTTTCCTGTCACCCTCGCAATGGGCCGGACCACAAAAGAAGGGGGGGGAGGTGCGCGCGCAGCTGGCGAAGCCCGGAAGAGGGTGGCCGAGGCCGGCTTGCTAGCCACGCCCCTTCCTCAGTCCTCCCCTCTGGACTCGTCGCGCCGCCGCTGAGGCCCGCCCTACTGGCTCACGCGCCTGGAGGGGCGGTGGAAAGCGCTTATGCGCAAGCGCAGTCGCAGGTCCTCGCCTCCTGGAGAAGTTACTGCGCAGGTTCGCGTGTAAGTTGGTGGGGTGCGTTAGGGTCTTGGAGACTTTTTTACTTTTTTTTAACGCCAACAACTACCGCTTATTGAGCGCTTCCCGTTTACGGGCCGCTGTACTAAGCACGCATTTACTGCATTCATTCATTCAACGTGTATTTATTGGTCGCTTCTTACATAGCGGTGAACAAGGCAGACTAAGTCCCTCTCCAACAGCTTCAGGAGGCACACATCCCCATTGTATGGATGGCGAAACTGAGGCTCAGATTGATCGACTCGCTTGTCCACCTGTGTTTCACCTCTGTCTCTTTTAATATAGGTATAGATTGTTGTCGCCTTTTGACATTCTTGAAATCAAGAAATTTGCCCATGCCAAATTAAGGAGAAAGCTGTGAGCCAGTTGTCATTACTTGTGCAGGTATGAACTTAGGCCTGGCTAAAAAGTTTCTTTATATCCCATTGTCACTTGAACTGGTATCTTTACATATAGCTAATGTTTATTGAGCACAGGCTGTGTACCAGGAACTCTACTAAGAATCACGCATATTTTATTATTTAATCCCTACAACATCCCCATGAAGTCAGTACTATATTAACCTCATTTTATGAATGAAAAAACTGTCATATAGATCTCAAGTCATATAGGTAAAAAATTGGCAGTGCTGGGACTCAAACCTGGCCATATAACGACTTCAGGGCTCCCATTCCTAAGCACTACTCTCTATTTCTTCTCTTATTTGCACGTGTAGAACCACAGCCAGCTTAATGTATTATAGATCCCTATTTGTCGCTCAAGTATATGTGAAAGACATTATACTTTGATGTAGGTTTGAAACATTGTTGTGAATGCAGAATGCCTATCACATGCTAAGCAATGCTATTAAAGAGAGTAGAAGGCTGGGCATGGTAGCTCACACCTATAATCCTAGCACTCTGGGAGGCCGAGGTGGGAGGACTGCTTGAGGTCAGGAGTTCCAGACCAGCCTCAGCAAGAGTGAGACCCTATCTCTACTATAAATAGAAAGAAATTAGCTGGACAACTAAAAAAAATATAGAAAAAATTAGCCAGGCATAGTGGCACATGCCTGTAGTCCCAGCTACTTGATAGGCTGAGGCAGGAGGATTGCTTGAGCCCAGGAGTGGGGGCGGGGGGGAGCCAGACTCTATAAAATAATTTTAAAGAGATGTATTCTGAGCCAAATTTGAGGACCATGACCCTGGAGCCACACCCAAGAAGCCTTGAGCAAGTGGACTCGATGTGGCTGGGTTACAGTTTGGATTACAGCTGGCTGGGTTACAGTTTTATACATTTCAGGGAGACAGGAGTTACAAGTAAAGTCAGACATCAATACGCATAAGGCATACATTGATTGGGTCTGAAAAGGTGGGCCATCTCGAAAGGGGAGGCTTACAGGTTATAAGTGGGTTTAAAGACTCTTTGACTTGGAATTGGCTAAAGACATGAAGCTTTGTCTAAAGGCTTGGAATGTTTTAAGATAAGGAGCTGTTAGTCAGAAACAAGCCACAGGACATATATATGTTGTATAAATTGAGGACTCTTGCATACCCTAAAGCCTGTTAGTGGGTTACAAAGAATGTCTCCAAGAAAGGAGGGGGGCATGATGAGGCATGTTTGACCCTCCTCTTGGGAGGCAGTTTAGTTTAGGAGATCCCCTTGGCCAAGAAGGGATCCATTCAGTCACCTGGTGGGGAGTGAGCCTTAAGATTTTATTTTATTTTTTTATTTTGTTAAGGAAATGCAGTGTTGTGGAAAGAGTCTCATCCTTCCTCTCTCCCCATGTATCACCGTGGGGGCTTGTGTCCCTTTCTAGAACCAAAGGAGAGGGACTTCCAAGAGAATCACTAGTGAGGTGTGCCTGCAGGAAGAGGGAACTGGCAATCCCCCAGATAGCTGTTTGGTCAGCAGACTTACTGGTCTGCTGTGCCCATTGCTTCCTACACAAAGGAGAACACAAATGGAGAGAGACAGCATGGTTGGGGGCCGAGGGTGGTGTGGTAGAGAGCGGTAGCTGGAGAGGGGCTGAAGCTGCTCTCCCTCAGCCCCACCTTGACTTTCAGGTCCCAGATTGGAAGGTAGCAAAGAGGTGTCCCTCAGCGGGGTGAGGCATGAATGACACCTGCTGGCTGGAAGACAGCAAATGCATGAGGGATCACTTATTCCTGGGAGAGATGCATGAGATCCCCAGGTACTGATTCCTTGTCATATTCATCTGCTCTTGTTTCATTTATGTACTTTTTATAATTTTTTTTTTGAGACAGAGTCTCACTCTGTTGCCCAGGCTAGAGTGAGTGCCGTGGTATCAGCCTAGCTCACAGCAACCTCAAACTCCTGGGTTCAAGCGATCCTGCTGCCTCAGCTCCCGAGTAGCTGGGAATACAGGCATGCGACACCATGCCCGGCTAATTTTTTCTATATATATTAGTTGGCCAATTAATTTCTTTCTATTTATAGTAGAGATGGGGTCTTGCTCTTGCTCAGGTTGGCTTCAAACTCCTGAACTCAAACGATCCGCCTGCCTCGGCCTCCCAGAGAGCTAGGATTACAGGCGTGAGCCACTGCACCTGGCCTGTTTTAATAATTTCTTTTGTAAAAATAGATGTTACTTAATCCTTCATCTCCTCCCAGAGCGTAAACAACTAAAGTAATTTTCAGATCTCTCTATTATGCATATTTAAATCAAATTATCTCCTTATTATTGATTTTAGAAGCTTAATTTTATTGGCTCATTTTTTTTTTTTTTTAGAGACAGGGTCTTGCTGTCTCGAACTCCTGGCCTCAAGTGATCCATCCTCCTCCCTTGGCCTCCCAAAGTGCTGGGATTATAGGCATGAGCCACAACACCTGGCCTCATTTTCCTCATATGTTTTTAAATTTTGGTTTACAGGCTTATCTTGGATTGCAGATTTCCTAGCCCCTCTCTAAGCTCACATTCCTTTTTGTCTAGTGCAGGCATCCTCAAACTACGGCCTGCAGGCCACATGTGGGTGTTTGTGCCTGTTTGTTTTTTTACTCCAAAACAAGATATGTGCAATGTGCATAGGAATTTGTTCATAGTTTTTTTTAAACTATAGTCAAGCCCACCAATGGTCTGAGGGACAGTGAACTGGCCCCCTGATTAAAAAGTTTGAGGACCCCTGGTCTAGTGGTTTTGGAGTTGCCACCAATGTAGAATCAGATATTAAAACACTGGTATCTTAATTCCTGAGGTGATATTGAAGATATAGCAGAACTAATACAATTTGTACTCTGAATTTTATTACCACATGCATGTTCTACTTAACTAAAAAACTAACATACTTTAAAATGTAGTTGATTAACTTCTAGTGATATATAAGTCAATTAAGTAAAACCAAACAGCTAAAAAATACTAGTTTAACCAAAAAGAAATGGCGATTGATATACTTCAAAATTTAGCAGATTAACAAAGAAGCCAAAATCAAGTGCATAAGACTCATTAATTTCCAGATATGAAAAAGGATTAGATTGAATTTACAATACTAAAGAAGGTGATACATAAATGTGAGGATAAGTACATTCTATATTCATTGTGAAAGAAACTTTGTATCCATTAAAATAGTACCCACCAATATTCCTATACACTTTATACCACCACCTCCCAAAAATTATCCTTTAGAGACATAACTTACGAGGGCATGACATTCTTAACTGGCTTGCCCAGCAACCATACAGCCAGTGTTTTCAGAGCTGGGACTAGAATCCAGATTTTGGAATCCTAATCTACTGCTTTCCCAAGACTTCAATTCTAACTCTACAGTTTGTTAGCTTTGAGACTTGGGCAAGCTTCCTAATCTTTCTGGGCTTTGGTATGATGGTCCCTAGTTTCTTGGATCGTCCTGAAGGTGATAAATGTATGTAAAATCCCCCTCCACCATAGCCCTGTGCCTTTCCCACCCTCTGCTCTTCCTGCCGGGAGGACTCAGCTCCTTGCTGGAGGAGCCCATAAAGCAGCCTTCGAGGCTGACACTGGGCATTGCTTCAGTTCAGATTAGGACTTAGTTTAGAATCCATGAGCATAGTGTCTGTGAGACAAATGAAACTATGGAGTGCAGATAGACATACTTTTGATGATTTATTGCAATTAAATGTCTTTCTCTCTCATTCCTTCGTCTGGCCAAAGATCTTTTTCCTCTCCAGAGATAGGACAGAAAGCGAAGGAGAAAAGGGTGTGAAAGGAAGGAAAATTTTTTTCCTGCCTATACATTTATTTTTAATTTTACAAGTTTAATGTCTGACCTCCCCCACCCTGAGCAATGGAGAAAAGGAACCAGTTCTGGAGGGTTCCACAGCTTTATACCTGGTGTGAGTATGTGCAAGATGTAAAATTAGAAACAAAAAATAATTTGTTCATCAATAAATGAATACAGGGCAGCTGGGCTTCACGGAGAAATGACAAATGCCTTCAAGCAGTCTTTGTTTTAGAACAATAGCTGGGGTCGCTGGTTTCTAAAAACTACTGGGAAAAACCATTCCCTGCTACCGGTATCAAAATGAAAAACCCGCGGGGCAGAGCGTTTCAGGCGAGATCCACCAGAGGGCGTAGCCCGTCCATGGCCAGCTCTGCAGCCAATACTCCCAGCCTGTGGCTACTGGTCCCATTCGTGCTGCTCGCCCAGACCTGGTGTGGCAGTAGGATTTCCTCAGTCTCTTTGTTAGTCCTTTTCTTTCCCCAACCCAGAAGAAAGTGGGGAAGCTTTGGAGTTAGGTGGACTTGGATTAAAATGCTGGCTCCGCCATCAGCTGAGATCTTGGCAACTGAGTCAGCATTCTGAGCTGTTGTATTAAGAATTGGTGACTTCTTCCCAAGCCTGGGGAAATCACAAAGTTATAGACAGTTGGCATAAGAAGGGACCTTTGAGACCAGCCAGTAGAGCCCCCACATTTCGTGGATGGGGACATTCAGGCCCAGGCTAGACCAAAGCACAAATCTCTCTGCACTTGGGCTAGTGTTCTCTCAGCGACACTCAGCTACCTTCTTTCCAAAATGTGTAAAACCTAAAGAGCACTTGTTAATGAATGAATGCACGGAAAGACAAAAGCCCTTTAAGAAGGTTGTACAGTATTTTAGAGCAAGGACTTTGGATCCAGACAAAAACACGGATCCTGCATTCATCGTCCAGCTTTAGTAACTTGGGCAAGTTCCTTGACCTCTTGAGCCTCAGTCTCCTCCTGTCAGTGGTGGGGGTGTCAATGAATGGGGATAATGGTACCTACCTCACAGGATATTGCGAGGATTCAATGAGCACATACCTAGAACGCTCAGCTCTGCACCTGGCACCTCGGAGGCATTAAGTAAATGTTAGTTCTTAGCATCTAGGTCATGTAACCTTTCTGAGCCTCAGTGTTCTCATCTGTAAAGTGGGAGTTTTTCATACAGG